CTCATCAAGTTTAGATTAGCCTTCTGGCTCAAAAACTCCCTCCCTGACTTTCCATTTTCTTTGGTGGATGTTGTTCTCAATTGGAGGCAAATTGTTTGTTGCTATTGATTGATTTAATGCATGCCTTCAGGTGCTATTTCTGTTGCTACCTATCTACCATTCTGATCTGTGTGAGTTTTGCTGCGGGAGGTTGTTTCAGTTTTTTTGCTGCTGTGTTGATGTAGGCTACTGCTGCCAGGGGACCAATAGTGTATAATTTGTTTTCATAAAGATTCAATCATGGATAGTATATGTGCTCTGGTCCTGCTATGCTCTGGTTGATGCTGAGTTTGGTTTTTTGTCTGGGTGGCAGATTGTCTGTGGTGGTTGAGGGTCTGTTATGCTGGTCTACTGGCCTGCTGGCTGTTTGGGTTGTTTGTTGATGGGTTGGATGGTTGATTGGGTTGTAGTGCAGGTCTAGTGGTTGTCCGGGCTGAAGGCAAGATGGTATGCTAGTTGTATGGGCTGTAATGCTGGTTTCTGGTGTATGGGCTGAAGGCAAGATGGTCTGCTAGTTGATTGGGCTGTTATGTGCTGTTTTGCTGGTTGTAGGTGTCCTTGTGGTGAAGTTGTTTCGTTTTTGTGTTTTTTTTTTCTTCTCCTTCTTTTGTTCTCTTTTTAATTTGTGTATATAAATCTTATTATACATCATTCAAAATTTTTAATACTTCACAACATGAAAAATTAAAAAACATATCATATATAACATATATCAATTTAATAATTGCAATCAATTATTGAAATGAATTTTTAAGATATCATATATAACTAATAATTAGATCAATAGAGACTAAAAATGTATAGTAGTAGTTATACCAAATATTATAGGACAAATGATATATTTAAGAAACATGCATAATATATACATATATATATTTATTATGGTGAGTTAAAATGAAGTGATTGATAATTGTAATATGCATGAATTATTCAATAAAAATTCTTTTCAAGTACTATCACAAAATGCATTCGAAGATCTATAAATCTAGAGCAATTGCATGAAAAAGTTGATAGACCTAAGTAGATTTTATGTAAAACCATATATAGACCCTATGTGAATTTATATGAATTTGAACATGTTGCTTGAAAAGATCTATCATTAAATAATACAATAGAATAAAGATGAAAAAAAAATTACATGAAATTTTATTACTTCAAATAGATTTCAATTAAAAAAATGATTAACCTCCAGATATTGCTTGCAAAGCTCTACATATATTATTATCTTCCCTGGAGAGGAAAAATAAATAAATTATTGGAGTTAGGAGATATAAAATATTAATACCTTAAAGAAATTTTTATGACCACCACTGCGTTAAGAGGAGGAGAAGGAGGAGGAAAAAAAAAGAAAAGAGGATGTTGTTGATGGTTTGTTTCCACTGTTGGATTTTATTGGTGGTTGTTCAACTTTATATGGAAACTTAATTTAAAGATAATGTGTTTTGGAGGTTTAGTGTTTAAATTCAAATTTAATTTTTTTGATAAAGATAAGGAGCTAAAGATATCATAGAAAATTTATTTTAAAATTTTAACATCACATTTAAAAAAAAAAATACAAATCAATTATTTTATTAGCAAACATTTATCTAATAAATGCGAACACTTATCGTGTTGTTTATTTATTATTTTTGACCTTTTTCATCTTAAATCATCGCATAACAAATAGATAATAAGAGTTAGTTAAGACAACCAAAAGTAGAGTAACAAAAGCATACTAAAATTATAATTAATGAAAATGACTAACATTAAATACAAGAATGCTATTTTTTCATTTTTTTTTCAATCAATAAGAGATATTATGTTAATTATCTCACACAATATAATGAATTAAAATAAAATAATTTTTTTTCCTTAATTTTATGTTGATTCACTAAACATAAATAGGTTTGAAAATGCATTAAAATTGAACGGACAAACATAAAGAATAGAAATATTTAAATTATTCAAAAACACCTAACATTTTAAATATAAGATCGCTTGCATTTGCTCAGGCTTTGAATCTGCATAAAAAGATATTTAGAAAAAGAAGAAATTTGTGGTTTAAGTCTCAAAAGAAATGAGATCTTGAAAATTAATTTAATCATAAGTTATTTCAACATGGCAATCAACAACCAAATATAATTGATGATTAAATTTAAAACATAAATCCATATCCAAATAAATTTTGATGATCTCTTCGCTTCCAATATAACATTTGCACCGAAAATAATTAAACACAAATAGTCAATAAGTGAAAGAGTCACAAATTAATAGTAGCACTTCAAAGATAAAATGAAATCTCAATTAAATGACACATTATTAGCCAAAAAAGAAAGAAATAAAAAAATACAGATTGTAGAAAAAAGAAAAAGAAACAAAAACATAAATAGAATTTACAGCAAAAATAAAATAATAATATTCATTTACATAAACTCCCTTTCGGCCATATGTGCTTCCAAACTAAAATTTCTTCCTCATGGTAAAACTTTCTAATTCCTCTATAAAAGCCATCTATTTGATCGTTCCAGTAATTTTCGATTATCCTTCTCATTTATTGTTGTTTGTTCTCCTTGTGACTTAGGAGTATTGTTTGAATTTCAGCACTATTGTAACTTGTAAAATACTAAATTTTCTCAAATATAAGAAAAAGAAAAACATATACAAAAAAAGAAAAAAAAATTTGACAGATTGCTTTATTGATATGGAATACAAACACACAAAAATTCTATATAAAGCAATTGTTTTATCTATATAATAAGTGAAACATATAACTCAAAAACTTGGAAAGGGGCTTAAAAAATAAATAAAAATAAAGCAATGGCAACCTCTGTTGTATCATATATACCAATCTGTAACTTTCTTACGGAATGGCCATCTAGGCAGTACCATTCTAACTTTCTTATGAAATGACCATGGAGGTGATGGTGACAAATAAGGGCAAGTTTTTTAGGATAGAGATATAGTCATACTTTTATTTTTTTATAAGAAGTAGTGTGAGATTGAAACAAAAAATGTAACTATATATAAAGAGGGAAGAAAGACATGTGAGAGAGGAAGTCATGTGAAAGGAGGTTATTTTAATTGAGATAAAGGAAAGAGGTGATAAGAGAGTTTTAAAATTTTTAATTTATCTAAAGTGATAAATATATATTTTTTCTTATATATTTCATGTGGATTTTCGTCTCTCCTCTATTTTGGCTAGAAAAAACAGGGTGAGAGAGGAAGAAGTGCCACCTCATTTTTTTAATCTCTCAAAATTATGAGAAATTAGGATTAAATAATTGATAGTCTGTGAGCTTCCACTACATTTGCTTTTATAGATAGTATAGATATAGATATATATATATATATATATATAGTATAAATACTCTTACTTATTGACAAAAAAAACAAAGCAAGTGACACTGTGAGCGATTGATTCTAGGGTTCACCCCATTGAAAATTTCTTGTCTTGAATACAAATAGAGTAGGATTTTGAATCCAATATTAATGGCTCTAGAACAAGAGACCACATATCTATTTAGTTCAAATTATTTTAGAGGGATTAAATTGGAATTCAGTTAAAACTATAGAACCAGCAGTGTAATTTATTTAATTTTCTTTCTAGGGTAGGAATTGCCTTTAAAAGTCTAAAATGCCCTAAAAAATTGTCCATGTGTATCACACGTGTCATTTTTCAATATGAAATATTAATCGAGGATGGCATATGGATTATATTGACATGAAAATGAAAGTGCAAAATTAAAATTGATTGAAATGAAACTACTAAACCAAAGTGAAATCAGGCTAAGTCTATAGGACTAGTGGTGTATTTTACCCAAAATATTATCATTACTGAAATGTTACAATTAATTGATAAATGTAGATAAATCAATTAATGTGATATGTGATGATGTTAGTTTTGGAAATATCAATTGTATCAATTAATGTGATATGTGATGATGTTAGTTTTGGAAATATCAATTGTATCAATTGTATCAATTAATGTGATATGTGATGATGTTAGTTTTGGAAATATCAAATGTTATTGGTTGTGTTAAAGCTGTGGCTCTTCAACTCCCGTTGCTTAATCCTTATCTGGAAAAGAATGCTTCATTTGATCATGGTGCCAACTTTGCAGTAGCTGGAAGCACAGCGCTCAGATAGTTCCTTCTTAGCTGCAAGGGGCATTCAAACTCCACTTATCAATACTCCTCTTAGTGCGCAACTAAATTGGTTTAGAACTCTCCTTAACTCCAATTGCCCATCGCTAGAAGGTTTGTGTCACAAGAGAACTAGTGTTAACATTATGAGCCACTAACGAGTTACAACTAATGAATATATCCTGTCAAATTTGTTTTTTCTTCACTTTATTGTTTATCGGAATGTGTAAGAAGGCTCACGAGGGCTATTGTGTATGTGGGTGAGATTGGAGGTAATGACTTCAATTATGCTTTATCTCAAGGAAAATCCATTCAGGAGATTCAAACTCTTGTCCCAGACGTTGTTGGGGTCATTATCAATAGAGTTAGAGTAAGCTCTTGTTCAAATTCTCCTCATTTGATTGCTTTTGTCTTTCTACCTCTATATATAGTTGTTTGAACTTTTGTTACAAACTACATAGTTGCTATAGGTTCAGATGTTATTGGCACATTATTCTGGTCATAAATTCTATATAAAAATTCTATAATAATAGCCCTTTATTTTATTTTTTTTGGTCATATATGGTTTTTGTTAGTGTATTATAGTGTTAGTGTAATATAGTGTAATATATAGCTGTCATACTAATGATGTTGTATCTTTATATTTTCGGTGGGTTAGCATCCAATGTACCCTATTTACTCTTTATAAATGAGAGTGTTGTAAAACACTTAATATCAATCATAATACATACAATTTATTCTCTCTCTATCAATTTATCTTTCAGTTTTAATGTTACTTTTTCTTGATGTAGGAAGTGATATGCCTTTTTTTTTTTGATCAGCAAAAAGGAACCTTTATAGATGCAAAAACCAAACAAGAAGAGAGATTACATCAAGGAGAGGAGTTTGGTGAGGAACCAAACCCAAGAAGAAGAAGAAAAACACAGACAAGAACAGCAAAAGAAAACTAACAGACCAAAAGCAAACCGAGTTGGTGCCATGCGAGTTGTAGTTCCTGGAAATTTTCCCATGGGATGCCTCCCGATCTTCTTGACTACATTGCCTAGTGTTGGTCCTGGAGCTTATGACGATCTCGGCTGCTTGCATAGTTTAAATGAGTTTGCAATGTTTCAAAATAACTATCTTCAAGGAGCCTTGGGCTCTCTTAGACAAGAGTTTCCGCAGGTTGTTATACTCTATGCTGACTACTATTCAGCATTCCAATCAGTTCTTCATCGTGCACCATTTCTTGGTGAGTGAGTTTATTCTATATCTTACATACATATGCACTCCTATATATATACACTACAAAAAGTTTAAACACAAGCAACTACAATAATTTGCATATATGATGAATAGTTACTTTTCCAGCTAATGATTATATTGGCACATATGTGTGCAGGATTTGACAAACAATCACTACTGAAAGCATGTTGTGGTATAGGAGGGTCATATAATTATGATCCTATCAGGACTTGTGGATCACAAGGTGTGCCTGGTTGCCTTAACCCAAGACAATATATACACTGGGATGGTTTACATTTAACACATGAGGCTTACCGTCGTATATCTGAGATTCTCATTAATGATATTCTATCTAAAATTCAATGTGTTTGGAAGAATCTATTAGTGCATTAATGCTTTGTTCTTCGTCAAAAGCTGGGATAGAAGCTCCAAGATATTTCTCATCGACAAATAAATGACTGCAAGTAATAATAATGGGTACAATTTCCATGATAGTTCTTTGTGATGTGTTTGTTTTCATGGAGGAAATACTACTATGTAATCATGACTTAACAACTCTAATTTGAAAATATTACGAGCAGACACTAAGGCTTGGTTTGACATATATTAAAAAAGTTAAAAAATTACTATTCTATCTAAGTCACACCATCTTTTTAAATCACATCACCTCTCTATTACATCATTTCAAACCCAATCCATATTTCGCCTCCGTTTGGGAAGTGGGTTGGCTTTTTGACTTTTTTGGCTATTTTAGCCTGGGGCTAAAAAGCCTGGTTTGGGAAGAACTTTTTAGCTTTTTTGACTTTTTGGTGAGGTCTCTTCCTGTTCATTTACCAAAGTGCCCTTGTTGTTGTTGTTGTTGTTTTTTTTTTCTTTTTTTCTTTTTTTCTTATTTTCGGTTTGGATTTGGCTTTTTTTGCTAACTTTTTTTTTATTTTTTTATTTTGGGTTTGGATTTGGCGTATTTTGCTTAAATTTTTTAATTTTTTAATTTTGGGTTTTATTTTGGCGTATTTTGGTAAAATATTAATTTTTTTTATTTTGGGTTTGGATTTGCTGTATTTTGCTTTATTTTTTTTATTTTTTTTAAATTTATGTTTTTGTCATTTTTATTTTTTTATACATTAATTAGTTCTTTTTTTTAATTTACGTTTTTTGTCTTATTTATTTTTATTGGTATACAATAACATTTTTTTTATTTATGTGTTTCATTTATTTGTAAATTACGTGGCGAATGGTAATTTATGTTTTTATGTTTACTGCAAGTAATAATAATGGGTACGATTTCCATGTTAGTTCTTCGTGATGTGTTTGTTTTCATGGAGGAAATACTGCTATGTAATCGTGACTTAAAAACTCTAATTTGAAAATATTACGAGCAGACACTAAGGCTTGGTTTGACATATATTAAAAAAGTCAAAAAATTATTATTCTATGTAAGTCATATCATCTTTTTAAGTCACATCACCTCTCTATTACATCACTTCAAACCCAATCCATATTTTGCCTCCGTTTGGGAAGTGGGTTGGCTTTTTAGTTTTTTTTGGCTATTTTAGCCTGGGGCTAAAAAGCCTGGTTTGGGAAGAACTTTTTAGCTTTTTTGACTTTTTGGTGAGGTCTCTTCCTGTTCATTTACCAAAGTGCCCTTGTTGTTGTTGTTGTTGTTTTTTTTTTTTTTTTTTTGGATTTGGCTTTTTTTGCTAACTTTTTTTTTTTATTTTTTTTATTTTGGGTTTGGATTTGGAGTATTTTGCTTAAATTTTTTTATTTTGGGTTTTATTTTGGCGTATTTTGATAAAATATTTATTTTTTTTATTTTGGGTTTGAATTTGCCGTATTTTGCTTTATTTTTTTATTTTTTTTAAATTTATGTTTTTGTCATTTTTATTTTTTTATGCATTAATTAGTTCTTTTTTTTAATTTACGTTTTTTGTCTTATTTATTTTTATTGGTATACAATAACATTTTTTTTTATTTATGTGTTTCATTTATTTGTAAATTACGTGGCGAATGTCAATTTATGTTTTTATGTTTTTTTTAATATATTTTTGAATGAGGCGTATTTTTCTCGTTATTTTTTTTTAATTTACGTTTTTGTCATTTTTTAATTCGTACACATTAATTTGTTTTTATATTTCAAAAATGGGTTTTCATGTGTTTTATTTATTTGTAAATTACATGGCAAGTGGTAATTTCTGTTTTTTTTTTACTCTTTTTGGATGAGGCGTATTTTTGTTGTTCGTTTTTTTTTTCAATTTACGTTTTTGTAATTTTTTAATTCGTACTAAATATTTTTGAATGAGTCGTATTTTATTTAAAATAATTTATGTATTTTAATTTTTTTTTTTTGCAAATGGTTTTTTCATGCGTTTTTTATTTTTATTTTATTTTCATTTTCTGTGAAATGATAAAAAGTGAGGTTTTATTTTATTGTCTTGTGCAATTTAAATAATTTAATTTTAATTTAATTTTAAATATTTAAATAATGTAAATAATCTAAAAAATTTAACTCAAATCGTAACCAAACACATAAAATAAAACTCAATTAATAAATTATTTTTAAAACTCATAACCAAACACATAACTTGAAACTCCATACTACTTTCAGAAGTCTACACTGAAATCATAACCAAATACATAACAAAAAAATTAAAATATTTAAAACTTTTTTTTTTGGATGAGCCGTATTTTTGTCATTTTTTTTTTAAAATTTTTTCCTACACACTAATTTATACAATTTGTTAATACATATTTTTTCATAAAAAATTAAAAAGTTAACCCAAATATTCATATTTTTTTTTCAATTTTGTAGTCAAAAAAGATAAAAAGTATACTTATTTAGGACACCCTAAACAATCTCTTAATATAATATTTTATTTTATTGAATTAAAAAATTTATTTTTATTCTTTTATGATTATTTTAGGGGAAAAAAAAACCCAAAATCCTTCCATGTCAAAAAATAGTGACAGTGGGTCAGTACCCCAAAAGTCACGCTGAGGGAACAATGCCAAAAATAGCTTCTTCTCTTTTCAGGGTATTTTGATAAATTTACCCCACAAAGGATTGAACCCAACACATTGATTTCTGTTTTGTCTGGACGTGGCTAAATAAGCCTAATTTGTCCGGACGTGGCTAAAATAGCCTCAGTTTTGCTTTCCAAACGGTGCCTTCATAAAAAGTTAAAAAGTGCACTTATTTAGTACTATTTTGGGAACATAGTAAAAAGCCACGTTTTTGGACAAAATGTCCAAAAACGCAACAAAATCCCCTTGGGAAGTGCAAAAAATGTAGTCCTAAAATTACAAATTAGGGCCTATGAAAAAAAAATTAAAAAAAATCTCTTATGTTGGGTAAGAGTATTTTGGTCATTTTCATTTGATTTGACACCATAAATAAATATTAAACTAAAAAGCAAAAAGCCAGCTTTTTACCAACTTCCCAAATCACTTCCAAAAAAGCCAAAAAGTTTGGTAAAAAACCAAAAACTAGCTTTTTACCAACTTCCCAAAACAACCCTTAATTTATCCCAAACAACTCCTAAGCATCATATTTATTATTTTTCATGATTTACATCATAAATATATATTTTGTATCCCTTCTCCTCTTGTGTCACCACAAGAACCATATCAATGGGAAAGCAGGCTACTACAAGTCTCATTGAGTTTTGAAAAAGAAGAGCCCCCTTAACCCATGGACTTCAAGTCAAACTATTTAATTCAATTTTCATAAATCAAGTGTCTAAACTGCCAATGAAATCTCTATAAAAAAATAAAATTAATAAAATTAAATAAATTAAAAATTTTTCATTGAAACCATATCTCAATGGTACCCTATTTTTCCATTTAAATCAAATATCCATCTAAAATAATCTCTACCTAAACTTTCTAATTTTCTTGTCTCTAATCTATCCATAAGTTACTAGCATTCAACATCTAGAACTAAAATCGTTCCAATATTTTATGGAGAAATTTAGTCAAAACCCCTCCATTGGACTTTTGTTTAGTGAAAAGGACAACCCAATTTAGTTTTTTCATAAATCCCCTAAGGAGAAAACACATAATTGAGTAAGGATGAAGTACAATATCTTTTTTTTTCTTTCTCTTGGACAATATTACCAGAGTAACATGTTACTGTGAGACAAAATAATATGTTACTGTTACTGTTTATATCAATTTCAAAGGTAATAAATTTTTTTTAAAAAGAATTTCATAGTCAATATGGATCTTATTTGATAGAACTTGATAAGAGAATTCTAAAAATATTAATTTTATTAAAAACCAAAAACTACATCAAAAGTTAAATTATTTTAAAGTTTAATATTTTGATAATAGTGATATTTGTTGGACTTTTCAAGAAAAACTTTTTGTACTTGACCTTAATGCATTAAAATTTTATTATAAGGGGGCTTTGACCAAATCCCTCCCCTCTCCCTTTTTTTATTATGGACAATAGAAAGAGAATTCAAGATGGAAGAAGAATTACATATATCTTTTTATACCGGGGGCAAATTTATATATAAAATGATATATGTATACAGTTTTGTTTGGTAGCTTGAAAATAGTTGGCTCGAATTGGCTCAAAACCCAAAACGACATCATTTTGGGTTTTTCATTTTTTTTTCCTTTCTCGTTTTTCTGAAGAAGAAGAAGAAGAAAAGAAAAAGAAGAAGCTGGATCTTTATCAACATCATCATCGGACAACAATTTTTTTCCCCCCCTTCATTTTCAGATCCAGATCCACAGAAAAAAATAAATAAATAAATAAAAATCAACAACAACATCTTCATCAACGCATCATCATCATCAACAACAACACCTTCATCAACATCATTGATGGGTTGTTGAACGCACCAAAAATAAAACACTAAACTATACCAAATTCTATCCGAATAATGGCAAGTCTAGGTATCGATCCACAGGGACAAATGTGAAATTAGATTAATTCAATCGCAAAATTCCTAAATTAATTTTGATTAAAAAGATAAGATTGATTTTATAACTAAATAGAAATTAAAAGAAATTGAGGAATTAAACTGACAACTAAAATTAGGGTTTGAGATATTAATTTTCGAGAAAAATCCTAGGGTAGAGAATTCACCACTAACCACATGAATAAGATTTAATATTAGCCACCAATTGCGATTCGGTTTGAACTATCCAATATTTCATAACTACAAGTTTGAAATATTGATCAATAGGGTTGTTGCATTCAATGTACAGGCACGAATCATCCCCGAGTAGTACGAGTTGTTTGCTCTAAACTATGTTAGCATGACTCGTCTCGTACTTTGAATACAAACACAAAGAATACTAATGTATGGAAAGCGTTAAACAATCATAGAGAGTAAAATGCTTGAAGAGATGAACAAAACAATTATTAAAAACTTCTAAATCATGCATATATTCATTCAAACCAATTTACAATTAAAGCTCATGAAAAATTCCATTACATGGCTAA